GTAGGTTTGTCGTTTTTTCAATGTTCCCATTAGACGTAATTATTTCATATACATATTCCAGGCAGAGAAGTGAACTTTGCGACTGAAGATTGTGACAGTTCAAGATGCCGCGCGTCTGTTTGATTTATTATAACTTTCAAAGAGACAAAATGTTTCAGTATTTTCGGTTTTTCTGTCACATACCTGACCTCACCAGATATTCATGTGTAATCTTGGCCATCATTTATGTATGTGAGCACTGTAGTTTTTAAGTGTCTATCTACTTCTTACACATCCTAAGTGACTTACAAAGTCTAGGTAATTATATTAGTCACTGAGCCGGATTGCGTAGCAACATGTTCGCCAAATAAATATGATATACATTGAATTAGTGTTCATATCGTTTGACCAGCAACCAGGAGTAACATTGATTTGTGAGAAGACAGAAGAAGAAGGTTTTATCTTCCAAAACATCCTCAATATGGAATCCAATAAAAATAGGAATAATTGGTTAAACTGATGAACAGCATTTGAGGAGAACAATATTAAAAGTTAATTCACTTCATGTTCTAGCTTAATCAATAGTGTCTGAAAATGATTTAGAGGGTGAAACTCTAATTCAATTTATTCTCAGTTGAGCCTTCTTTGATATGAATAAATCCTAATAATTAAAGCACATAGTTCATAACTCCTAGTGAAGAATAAAAAGGTTGCGAATAAGCCTAGTCTTTGAAGTGCTTTCTTCTTATTTCAAACTGACTGGGAGCTTGCTAGACTATCACTTCCAGATTTACTCGCACTCAAAGTCACACCACTCTAAAGCACTTTTTACCTGACCCTAGATTTCACGCTATCCGAAGCAACATATGTAATATATTGTGAAAAATGTAGCGTCAATACATGTTCATAATTTATGTGGATTGGATAAATGCCGCTTTTTCATATGACGAAGGCCTTCCATACAGTAGTCTCCTCAAGGCCTAGTTTTTTGAGCGAATGATTTCTCAGGAGGCTTTTGTCAATTTTATGATATTTGAGCCTACTTTTCAGGATGACCGATGATGAGTTGCAGAGAGCTGGAAATAAGGCAGGATCGAAAAAGGTGTATCGAGATAGTCCATTAAAGGAAGCAGATGTTTTGCACATAATTACGCGATTCATCAATAGTTAAAACGCAATACTTTTGTAGCAGCCGAAGGCAGACGACCAGGTACCAGTAAGTGATAGAAATTGTGACTCATAAAACTGAAGCATTATTCTGATTGGCGAACATAATTTCAGATTATGCGAATTAACTTTTATTTATAGTCTCTTAACGTCTTTAACTGCTAAACAGTTTGTAGCTACTGAAGTTCGTTTTCGAATCTCTGAGCACCACTTCATAATGAAATACAAAGGGCGTTGGTATTTACTGTACTTGCATTTCTTGTTTTTCCTGATAACTATGGATCATCCGTAAAATCCAGTGTCCAATATGCTTGGGCCCAACCTGTAAGTATTTTGTGTCTCAAGGATAGTGTGCGGAGCACTTTGTGTAAAAAAAGTCAGGAAGAGAAGGTAAATTAAAATTTGGGCTAACGACTCAGAGGCCCTATAAAAACATAGACAGGTAGAAAAACATACTGCGTTGACTGCTTCATCTAAAACCCAAATCGCATGTCGGCTCCTAGCAAAACACATAAGAAAAAAAGCAGATCACAACATTCACTCTTTACTGCACGATGGCGTGACTTATTATGACCAAGCTGTCATATGCAAACTGATAAGTGAATGGTTTTCCCACAACGAGAATACTTCGCATACTCTGGTATCGGTTGTCAATGACAGACGACTAATCAATATGCTTAGCCTAAGAAGATTTAGGAACATAATCGGTATCTCATGCGTTTAGAGTTAGACTGGGTTCAGAAAAAATTTCCACTGCGATGATTTTGGTCATGCAGAAGTGGGATATACTGACAATACCACGATTCGAGTAATGATAAAGAAGTTTCCAATTTTCACAACTGGACGAGCAAATACACTGTACGAAGCATGGTGAATGTGTGGGAAACGAGAAATAAACCATGCATGTTCTGATTCTCAAATATATACTTAATCGGTGACCCTGATCAAACCTTCACTATTAATTTTTGTGGTGTCAATAGTTTATCCGTTGGAAAGTAACCAGTGCTGTTCCATCAAACAAGAAGTCAGCCATTTAGTGCTGAATAAGTCATCAACATTGCATTTGATGTGGAACTAAATTTTTATAGTTATGGATAACTTTCTAAGGAAATGCCAATGAAGCCACTGAAGAAAACGGATAAAAACGCATCAAGAGGTGTACTAGGACTAGTTGGCGAAGTATAGTGTGAATTTCCATGCAATAGAACTAAGTATTAACGAATATACTATCTGATTGAAAGACCAAAACGTGGTCTGGTTGATCTAGATGTGTTAGAAAAACTTGGAATAATGAACATACCTATTAACAGTTTTTGCAATGAGTCGTGTCCATCAATGGATGCATGGATGATAAACGATACTTGCAAAAAGGACAGGTGAAAGGTTACTAAAAAAATGGAAGAGAAAGTTTGTTTCTGTTTTTCAGAATAGCCTTCGTCACTGTACGACGATGAAAACTCACTCACCAGTGAAACCAGATGACAAACCTATTTTTCGTCCAACACCGGCTCTTGAGCCTCTACGAAACGTACTTGTTATGAATTATTGTGAAAAACATCCTACATTGAGACCTGGTCGAATAGCGCAAAAGAAATGGAATGTGATTTGTGAGGTATCAGTTGGGTCAGAAGTTTCGGCACACCATGCCTACCAATTGGAAGCAACTTTGATGACCAGCAACGAGACCCTACATAGAATACCCCTTTGTCGCTCTGCTAGACACCTTTGCAATCAAAACGCTTAGAACAGATGGGTCGGTTTCTGTGCAAGCAAAGAGTAATACAATTTCTTTATTGCCTAGACAATGAACAAATCGAAAGCAAAGGCCATTTACTCAGTTTCAGTTGGACCCTAGCATCAGATCCTATGAATCTGCTCAAAGGAGAGGTGTTGGCGGGACATATATTGAATATTCCATGCACGATTGCGTTGGTGCACGCTGACTGAGTAAGAACCAGCCAATACTAAGCGATAAGAATTGCTGGGTTGTAATAAAAGAAGTTATAACACTAGGCTTCCTGAGTATTTCTGACCAACGACTCTAATGTTCTTCTTTACTTTCATGTTTGCTTCAGTGTATTCAGAGTGTGGCTTCACTTTCTCTGCTCTTTTTTGTCAGTAAATGGAAGGAAGTCTGTACTGAACCTTTGCACCGCTGTTTCACCAGCTGTCCATAGCTTCTTTAGCTTCACTTTCATCTTGGCCACAACCAGATGGTGATCTTGAGCCATGTGAACTTTTCTCCTAGTTCTCACGTCTTCCGCTGTCTTTTTGAATCTTCCATTGATGCAAATATGATCTATTTGGTTCTCTGTTGTGTGGTCCTGTTAGATCCACGTAGCATTGTACATGCGTTTGTGTGGGAATATTGTGCCGCCTTTAACCAATTTGATGAATGCACATATATTTGCAAATCTCTCCCCATTTTCGTTTCTTTCCCCCAGTCCATGTCGTCCAATTATATCTTCATATCCTGTGTTGTCCATCCCGACTTTGGAGTTTAGATCTCACATCAGGATGATGAGGTCCTTTCTTGGATACATCGTTATGATTGATTGCAGCATGTCATGAAACTGATCTTTATCGTCCTCATTGCTACCATTGGTGAGTGCACAACATTGGATAAAATTCATTGTGATTCCCTCCTTCCTTGTTTTGAATGATGCTTCGATGATTCTGGATCGGTGAGATTCCCATCCTACAAGTTCACTTCGTACTTCTCTAAACAGCATTAGAGCAACTCCCTGAGTATGCGGAGCATTCTCCTCTTCGTGACCAGAGTACAACAGCATCTCTCCCGTACCTAACCTTTACTGTCCAGCTTGGGTCCAATGGGTTTCGTTGATTCCGAGTACTGCCAATTTGTATCTCCTAATTTCCATTGCTATTAGACTGGTCTTCCCGGTCTCCAACACTGTCCGGACATTCTATGCACCTATAAAGAGTGCTGCTCTGGTTGTTAGAAGAGGCATCGGCCTCGTGACTCCCGAAGAATCTTGGCCTTCATCATGAGGTGTCATAACTTTTTCTTCGACTGGGAGGGAAGAGTTTAAATGGTTTAGTTTGTTTATTCTGGTTGGCGTGTTTTTAGAAAGGTTATTTTCTACGGGACTGGGTTGCTGGTCTTAAGTCAAGCCCTTCTCCTTTACCCGAGCTTGGGATAGGTAGTAGCCCTAGAAGAGCTACAAGCGTAGTTGATGGATAATCTAGATAAACTAACTTTATAAAACATATGCATAAAATGTAAAACACTAAAAAACGTTTTCAGCTAGCTAATCTATTGTTTGCTGACAACAGATTTTAAAATTCTTGAGAAAAATGAGGACCAAAACAACAGAACAGTTCTCGTTTGAGTCAAAAAGAAGAATTGAATTAAGTATTTATGAGTATTCAATATAAATATTAAAATTCATTGGAGGCATAAAGCAAACTCAAATTGCCATCCTGAACTCCCAAATGATCGTTAAATAGATTAAAACTACAAAGATGTTCACCTTCAAGTTACTTATTTATAAAAAAAATTTACGATTACTGTCCATTGGTACATACGCACATCATTTCCGGTAAAAGGTCACTTTTGATTATTTTCAGGCCAATAATATGACCAATCATAGATCACTTTCTTTCTATTGGCCTAAACTAAGCCAATGAAAACACAGTTTGAGACACGTGACTGTGTAGACAATATACCGTGACTATTATATGATATCGACCGCTCGTGTTTGGTAGGCAATATTTCTCTTATAATTCATATATAACTATTTTGATTGTTAATTATTATATCACATTAAATGGTCTCCATTGTGCAGCTCGCTTTATAAATATATATAAATAAATATATATAAAAATGCGTTAAATCAAATCTTTGATTTATTCATTTATTGTTCTCACAATAGTATCTTAGTTATTGTTTCCCAGCAATAATCTAAGTTGCTTTATCATTCTAACCTCAATACACTTACAATAGACATGTTAATGTTTATAATCACTAGATTCAGTTTGCCTCTAATTTCAACCACATCATTATTTAGTGCACAATGGTAAGACTTGAAATCATATCGATCATTTTTTAAATGTATTAATTGACCGATAAACTTGGAAGTTTTGTGTTGGAGAAATATTTATCCCATTTAGTAAATGACTCTGGTTTACGGTTTAACATACACGACAATATTTGATCATTTTGAACTGTAAATTATGTTAGATTGATTCTAAGTCAAAAATCCGTTATCAGATTCAAGGAGGATATTAGCATTAAAAGCAGGATTTTATTCTCATAGTTGAAATCATGAGTCAATTGAAGCTAGACCACCATGAAAAACCTGGAAGCACTGGACGGCTGTTTCGTCCTATTATGGGACTCCTCAGCAGTGCGCATCCACGATCCCGCACTCGCGAGATTCGAACCCAGGACTTACCAGTTTCGCGCCAGAGCATTTAACCGATAGACCACTGGGCTGGCCTGCATTAATCGGTGTTAATGTTTAACTCCAACCAATCCACGAAGTTGAGCAACCATTCACCAATATCTTCAGTGAGTTGATATCTCCCAACAGATCTGATTGAACTCCAGTGGTTACCGCTTCTCACTAGAACTCCAGGAAGTACCGAATCTCGAGGGTTCAGGATCGTGGATGCGCATTGCTGAGGAGTCCCATAATAGAACGAAACGGCCGTCCAGTGCTTCCAGGTTTTCCATGGTGGTCTAGCTTCAAGTGACTCATGATTTCAACTATGAAAATATTGAAATATCCACTAAAATCCCTTAGGATGTTTATTTATCGAATAAAGGATGATGTAATCAATTTTTACAACAACACACAAGTAAACAATATTGTTTTCAATTTGATCTTCACTAAGCCCTAATATTCTGTAATATTTACATCCACATATGGAAAACTAATCTGGAGAATTTGTGGAATGACGCTAACTAATGGTAATGTGTAGATGTTACAATATAATAAATGCTGAAGTAAATTTAACAATAATTAACATGTCAAAATAAACAAATATGTTGTCATGGTAACTGGGTCAAGGAATAAGAAAATAAGCATAAAAGTAATAACCATCAAAAACTGAGCATTAATAAATGTGTGAACTATTAGTTCTAGTATGTACATGATGAAGAAGAGAAAACAAACTAATAAGAAGATCTATCCTGTCCAACTAAACGACATGGGATATTGTAAATAATTCTGAATACAAAGACTAGGATTAGATGGAGTCCAATTTTTTTTATTATTGTACGCTTGATATAACGTTCTTCACAGAAGAAACTCAAGTCGCAAATACACGAAGATTAAATATGGATTATTTTGAAAGAATCTTATGGATTATTAAAATTTTCACGGATAATGACTCTTCTTTATAAGTCTGCATAATTCAAAATTGTCTAACGTTTGCTTAGTGAGTTATGTGTGCTCTGTCTTCTAAAAAAAGCAAAATGTTTTCTTCAATATCTTAAATTTCTAATCAATTTATCTTTCTTTTTTCAAATCTTCCAGAATTATCATAACTGATCTGTTGTATTGTATGGGACTATTGAGATAATGAATTTTATATACGATTTACCTGAACGACTTTTAACGGTGAAATCATTGTAAGTTATGTTAATTTTTATTTTCTCATTTACAATATGAGAATTTTTATAGTTTTATTTCACCTTCACAACCAACTGACTAGTCTCATTTTTGAGGAACGTATAATGTTAGATGGTTAGATGTAGCCAACAAGAAACCCTGAACATAGGTTTCGTGCTAGCTGGCACTTATCATCAAGACGTACCTGTAATAATCCGGTAGCTGGCGCTTCCTGTGATATTTGAAGCTATTCGAACCTACCATCTCAAAACACATCACTCAACGTCAGAGTGTAAGACGTTGCGGATAAGCTATTCAGTCACCGAAATCACAACGTTATTGTTATTATCCGATTATAATGAAGGACTGAATAAACGTGATTTTTGTCCCTATTTAGTAATCAACCATTTGGAATCTAAAACATTTAGCAATTCAATATTATATTGTCTATTTGTAAATTAGCTTTTTTATATTGTACATGATATACTCTTATACTTATTAATTAACTAACAATGGTCATTTTGATGAGATCTACTTTCTTAATCAACCAAGTTTTGATACTGTATGAAGTAATTCAAAGGTAGCTCTTATTGTAACGTTCGCTGTCCGAACGTTGATACTGGCACGCAATCTTCCTACATTCGCACCCAACCGGGTACTTAAGAGAAAAGACAATGAAAAAAGAAGGTTATTGACCTAACCAAATAGGCATTCGTATACATATATATATCCCTTAAAAATTAAGCTACCAATGACGTAGGTCTCATTCTTTTGAAATAGAATACAATTTCGTTACCAATCACGTTCATCCTGAATTTTGATTAGCCCAGTGTTTCAGTTCTATCATGTATACAATCTTTAAAAAAAACTTACTAATATTTTAAATAAATAATATATTTGTAATATCCCAATGAGTATAAAAATTAGATTTTCTGACGTTTCGTAACCCAGTGTAAGCCATCTCTTCAGAGAATAAATAACCAAATTAACATTAATCCAAGTTTAAATATTACAACAGAACAACACGAATATTATATGCGATCAATCAAGAAACCGATCTGAATAAATCAATGTCATATCATTTCGGTCAAGGTGATTCATAAGCAACATGTATGTAAATTTGTGTGTGTATATGTGCACTATTAAGGATGAAAAATGTATGACCTTTACCGCGTATGATACTGCGCATTTCTGAATACACGATTTATATAGCAGAGGCTGATATTTGTGTTTTGGTCTAAACGGGCGGGGCTAGGCAAGAAGAACCAATAAAGACTCAGAGTTGACTCTCGGCTGTTTGTGCTAATGATTAATGCGTCATTGGTTTGGCACAGGGCCAAGGTCGTAAATTTCGACGTTCTGATTGGCGGTCTTGTCACGTAATAATTGACGGGCTATGGGATATAACACCTTTGGTTTATTGAATAACGATGATTAATGTTATATTAGATAGTTCTCAATGATAACCTAATTCTATCTATGAGACCCAGTTAGATAGTACTTTTTTAACTAAGCTGTATTACATCTCAGTTTGTTGTATTTATTGCGGGATAGCTAATATCAAAGAAAGTTTATCTTTTGGGACTATTTTACAAGCTATGATTATTTAAATTTTTATTATATAATAATTAAATAACTAAATTAATGTTGTTCTTTGTTCTATTTATTGTAAACGCATAGAAGTTCCATCAGTTATTGCTTAATTCTGTCTCATTAATCATTCTCCTTTTTCCTTCATTCTTTTCTACTTTTTTGACGTGGTTATACCTATATTGTAATTTCATATTCATTTTGATGTGCTAGATGAATCCATTGTATAAATTGATTCGTATAAGTTATACTTCTTCATTACTACTTGATATGTTCTATTACTAGACAGAAGACTGAGATAGAAGGAAGGCATATGTTTAGGACCAATATGAGTAGGATTATTTTTAATCGCAACTCAAGGTTAACCTTGCCAGTCAAAGTATATAATTGGTTAAAGCTTTGAACGCTATGAAACAACCAAAATAATATACGTGGTCGAGAGAAATATTACAGGATCCTTATTGATGAGTCTTTTTCTAGATACCGAGTAATATCTCATTCATAACGGTAATCTAGGATTCAAATGATCAGAATACGAATTTTATGAAGACCACTTTCAGTTATCTAAATTCTTTTGAAGTGGGTTTTGAAACGGGTTTTATCACCCCGCACCGCTAGGGCAAACGATTCGAAATCTGAACAGAAAAAATTAACTAACTAAAATGAAGTCAACGTAATAAATTACAAGAAGTCATTTACCATTTTCAACCAATAAGTCTTATGATTTTGAAAATAAACTAAGCATTTACCTTTATTTAAATTCACTTAATATTGTTTGTTTGAATCTTCCCATCGCACAAGCAAGTGTCTATCAGGACTCAGTAGCTAAGTGAATAACGCGATGGAGTTTGGAGCGAACGGTACTGGGTTAGAGTCCCAGAGTGAACATCAACTCTGAGATGCAGGTACATCCAGCTGACGAGTCCCGAATTGGACGAAACGCGCGTCCTGGATTTCACTGCTAGCCACTATCCATCTTTTCTTACGATTTACCTTTATTATCCTATTTCGATCTTATTCTTCTCAAGTTTTATTCTTCGCAAACATTTCCTTGAAAGTAAAGAGTCCTAATGACAAAGTGTTGGGTTCATTTTGATTTTGTATAAAGTGCATACATTTTATATTTTTCTTTAACCCAAACATATATAGACCCTATTCATAATTTCAGCTTTCCAGTTATTCAATCTTCAAAATTCAAGCAATATTTAGATGATTGTTTAACCAATAGAAAACAATTAGTTGTTGAACAATTTCAAGTAAGTCTTTGAAAAAAAATCAATTTCAGTAATTAGATGATTTAATATTTTCATAGTTGAAATCATGAGTCACTTGAAGCTAGACCACCAGGGAAAACCTGGAAGCACTGGACGGCCGTTTCGTCCTATTGTGGGATTCCTCAGCAGTGCGCATCCTCGAACCTGCACTCGCGAGATTCGAACCCAGGACTTACCAGTTTCGCGCCAGAGCACTTAACCGATAGATCACTGAGACGGCATCCAACAGTATTAATGTCTCAATTCAACCAATCCACGATGTTTTTGAGCAACCACTCACCAGTTGTCTTCAGTGAGTTGATATCTCCACAACAGACTTGGTTGAACTCCATTAGTCACTGCTTCCCACTAGAACTCCAGGATATGTATCTTGAAATCAGTCACTAGTGAGCATATGATTCTAGATCAGAAGGTGTTTTGTGGAGATTTCAGTATTTTCATAGTTGAAATCATGAGGACGAAACGGCTGTTCAGTGCTTCCAGGTTTTCCATGGTGGTCTAGTTTCAATTTACTCATGATTTCAACTATGAAAATACTGAAATCTCCACAAAACCCCTTCTGATCATAAATGATTTAAGTAAATGGATTTATAATTTTATTTAATGAACTAAATACATGAATTGGTCACCTTATGAGTAGTTAATATCATCTTTCATTTTCCAATTTTCATCAAAACCTGTTAGTCAGTCTTTTTCTTATAGTGACTACAACTGTTTACATTGGTTCGAAATAGTCAGTTTAATGCTCGCTTTTAATTATAAAGGTGTTTAGATGGTAAATTTGCCTTGGTAACACATGTTGACAAGTATTAGTGATTGTATCGTGTTTTGCATCCATAAGGTCCAAAGACGAAGTCGTACTGCTGACTGTACAGAGGTGTGACGGCAGTAAGGTGTTTCCTTCAGACAACCAGCATAACAGCGATGCTGCCCTCAAGGAGGGGTGGGGTTAGAAAAGGTCGACCCTAAAAATGCACACCTCGCCTTATCCCACGGATTTCCGTCTCCGGCGGTAAGGTCCTTTGAAGAACGGAGCTAACACGTCAAAAATTCCCCACAAAAAGGCCGTACGTGACCGGCCTCAAGAAGTTGTCCCTTGGGCACTGCGGTCACGCTCCCAGGTCGTTATGACCAACACTAATCCAACTTCTTTTTCAGGTCCCCCCAAAAATACCCTTCCACGGTGTGGGCAACCGGGAAGTGATATTAGCCCTCATACCCTTAACTGCACACGAGACCAAATTGGTCACATTCAAATCCTTCTTAGTAGATTGAGATATCATTCACTCTATATTTTTGAGTTTCCATTTTAGCTAGTTTATTTATCTCTGTCTTAATCAATTCAATATGCTTGGTTAATGGTCAATAGAACCCATAAAACATGATCTGGTCAACAATTAGCGGTTAATTAATTATAAACACTTCAATCCTACATGAATCCAGTCGCTACTTGAATACATCAGCCTGTGAAACTGGGTGATCAGATATAAATCCTACAGGGAGAGTCGTCCCTCTCAATATTACAAGTACACCGTACCAGCTAGTCTCAAGTAGTATGAAACCTAAGTCAAACAAGGTTTATTGTCGATTACACACAACCACCCAGTATCTCAAGTCTTTTTTTTAAAACTGGTTCTCCGTAAAAAGAACTCTTCGTTGAACTAATCTTTCTTGTCTTAAGAACCCATCAGTTATAATTTCACTCAATATTACATGTAAATGACTACTTGCCAAGTGCTGTGCTAGGATTATTTTGCAAATAAAAAATACTGAAATAGGTGATAAAGAAGTAAGCTTTGTATAATAGAGAGGAATTTTTTTGGTATATGACTATACTATTCACAAATCATTGGTCAAATAAAAATAGATCGTATCGAGGTCAAACTATATCATAGTAATAGGCGTTTAAAATAGATTTTGATTGGTCAGTTATGAAAAGTAATGGTAAATATTAAGAATGTGAGCTATCTTGAGAAGCCCTTTAAATAATCCTCACAAATATTAGCTAATCCGTGTTAGGTAGAGACAGGTATCTACCTCAGACAATGGAAGGTGGTAGCTCAATTTCTTGGATTGGTTGAATTTAGACATTAACACCGTTGGATGCCGGCTCAGCGGTTTTAGAAGTTAGGAGTCCACGCACGAGACAGAAGACCCTGGGTTCGAGTCCCACGTGTGGGATCGTGAATGAGCACTGCTGGGGAGTCACATACTAGAACGAAACGGATGTTCAATGCTTTCAGGTTTTCAATAGTGGTCTAGCATCGATCGATTCATGATCTCAATCAAAATATTAGTATGCCGAAAATGAGATAATTAACAACGAATGCATTGATTTTATATCATTAATGAACTTTTAATTCATTTTGATATTGCTTGTTTGAATCTTCCCATTGATGTTTTGAACTGCAATTGATTAGTCTCCTATTTGCATATGTGCATCCTGTGTGGATTGCCTCGATATTGCCTCAAGTCACAAGCATTGTAAGTAAAGATGGATGGTGGCTAGAAGTATATTCTAGGGTGCGTAATTCATCCTATTCGGGATTCGTCAGATGGGTGTACCTGCATACCGGAGTTGATGTTCACACCATTGCACAGGTTACTCGCTATCTGGACTCAGAAGCTAAGTAGATAACGCAATGATGTTTGAAGCGAAAGGTACTGGGTTCGAGTCCTAGTGTGAACATCAACTCTTAGATGCAGGTACAACCAGTTAACGAGTCCCGAATAGGACGAAACACGCGTCCTGGTTTTCACTACTAGCCACCATCCATCTTTGCTTATTAATGGACTTTTCCAAATTGTCCATCAGTAATACTTCAGTTTTGAATTCAAAGAACAGTCAACAGTTTTAGGAATAGGATATACATTTAAAGTTAGGAATAAAGTATATAGATCAACCGTATAACCTAATCACAATCTTATTTCCTATCCTAAATCATAATCTTAAATTCAAACCATAAACCATAGTCTTGAATCCTAACCATTAAGTATTTGATAATATTTTCATCGATAAAACTAATCATCTGCTTTCAACAGATAATATTCTGTTTCGATACATATTCCCTGTGACCTATAAAAAGTTGTTTGTTTCTGGTTGACTTATCCTTATTCTTAATGTTCTCTATTATGAATTATTTTCTACTCTTTTCAGACAATATGTTTTAAAAGTTATGAATTGGAAAAAACCAACGAATTAACATATCATGCTGCAGTTCATCCACAGAATTACTATTTAAATCGTTATAATGATATATTAGCTTGTAAGTTATTAAACAAATTACTAGATAAATTCACTTAGTATTGTTTGTTTGAATCTTCTCATTGATGTTTTAGGACTGCAACTGGTCAGTCTCCAATTCGCATATGTGCATACTGTGAGTATTGCCTCGATATAGCTTAAATTCACAAGCATGGTAAGCAAAGATGGATAGTGACTAGCAGTGGAATCCAGTTTGACGCGCGTTTCGTCCTATTTGGGACTTGTCAACTGGATGTAACTGCATCTCAGAGTTGATGTTTACTGTGGGACTCGAACCTAGTATCTTTCGCTTCAAACGCCATCCCGTTATCCACTCAGCCACTGAGTCCTGATAGCCACTTGCTTGTGCAATGGGGTGGAGTTTAAATTCACTTGGTATTGTTTGTTTGAACCTTCCCATTACTAGATATATTACGTCGTCTGTCCAACTTGATCAAAAATTTATTTTAACAAATCTTAGTTACAACACTTAACCTGATGAAAATTCACCTAGTTTATAGGAATACGCTAGATTCTTTCTGCATTTTGTCGTTCAAAAAATTCTTGAAAGTTTTCAGAATTCAGTCTTTTTAGTTACTTAGTTAATTCATATTTTGCTAGCATTGTATATTAAAACGATTTTCCGATATTGAGTTCATTAACATTCATTGAGACAGTGGATTGGTTGTTGGAAAACAAAAGAGATCGCACATATTTGATATGCTTAATAAAATGGGAGGTTGATAGTTGACCACGAATTAATTATCCTTGTAGTCATAACTACACTAACCGTAACTGTTGATCTATTTAAAAAGTGTTTTCATTTTGCAATGCATTATCTCTATGATGAGACCTTGACATTTCATGAATTTTCAAGAATTTTTCTTAAGCTTCATCATAGTATTCCAGTTCGTATATTTATTCAACAATATTTATGAAATTAGTTGCATTTAACTCATCTGCTTTGGTGGGTGGCCTGCCTAACCAGTGGGCTGGTAGGACTTCCTTCTCCATCCCGTCATTTAAGCCCCCAAATGCCCTGGTACGGCCGAGAGTGGGAAGATTCCGCTCTCCCTCTCCAAATGCTCCCACATAGCCACGCGTATATAGCCTCTGCCAGGGAAGTCATACTCACTACCTTCTCGTGGTGGGGGTGTTATTCACGAAATTGAGAGGACGAAAAGCGAATTCGCGGCGCTTAAACCGGGTTGGTGGACACGGATGGTCCACTTAGGGGAGTTGGAAAACCCTGATTACAAACCAATGGTACACATGGGCTCCAGTATCCAGAGGGAACAAATGGCATATGAACCAATTGTTGGTCACCAGCTACTATGGGATTGCATCTCCTTATGATGTTCCACTGCCTTTTGTATCAGATCTTTAGGTGTGGCTCCTTAAGAAAACCACCTGTTTCGGTTTGGGCACCCGGGTAGTATCACAGCCCTCACACAAATGAAATAAGATTTGTGTGGCGTATATGTATCTGGTGCCCTTTTGTACCTATATTTATGTGTTTAAATAAATAAATAACCTGTTCCATTTTCTATTTATACTCATTAAAAATTCTACATCATTATCAGAAAGATAGGTAAAATTGAATTCATTCTTACAATCATTTCATACCAAGAATTAAAACTAATGTCTGTAACGTTCACAGTTTAAAATGAGGAATTTACACTGCGATAAAATGTAACAACATAATTTCATCGTGACATCTTTCAAAAAGGAGAATGTTTCTGTTCATAGTTGTTAGTAATAATATAAACTTTACGAGATTTATATTTAACTTATACATAGAAATGTTACCGATTGTTATCATGTGACTAAAACTCTGTATGATGATTGGTCTATCGGTCGTGTATTCTAATCCGTGCAATCCTGTGTAGATCTTAGTCGAAGCAAAGTCAGACATGTTATAATGCTTCAGACAGTTTTTTGTGTTGCCTTTCATAATAAATCTGATTCCAAAGATAAATCGTGCTGAGTTTTTTTGTATGGTTTTTAATGGTCAAAACATCAACGATCACCTGCTGTCAGTAGTATGAGACCAAGTGTTGGAATATGGAAAGTTGTGGTACAATGTATTTCGAGAAAATCAAATAAGAACGACATCTTAGCATTTAAACAAAGAATGAAGTATATCATCATCAAATTTTAGTGTTCAGTGCCATACAAAATAAAGCTACTACAAACCTGTAATTCGTGGACTTTTAATTAAATTACTAGCCGATGGTTGATGGTAGTCAAAAGAACACGCTGCTTCGTATAATTTTCAAGCTGATTACCAGTTTTCAGTAAAGTGTACCCGCAATCTTAATGGAGTAAGCGCTCTCTGTAAAATGCTAACCTCCGTCGACCGACTTCACATTCCGATATGTTACCACTGAATTATTCGGATTACAACTGATATCCTATAGGACTTTAGGTTCAGGGTTATCTCCTGACTACCTATAACCACCGAACATCGCACCATTGTGTAGGCTAAAACTGGTGACCATACTGTAACTGAATCATATAAGCACTAAATTGTTAGACAAACATGAATGACATTGGTTACTGCTCACCGATGAATCAATTAAACACATGATTTTATTTATTTGACTTACAAAACAAATAGTTTTCTGGTTTGCTTATCCCTTTACACATTTCTGTTTTTTTTTTCACTTCAGATGACCAAACACGAATTGTCTTAAAAAATACAAACGATCAGAATCCAGTAACATTTTCTGAGGTAACTGTTTTTAGAAAAATTGGTTATCTTTGTTAGTTACCTTAAACAAGTTCCTTCGATAGTGAGTCAAATTACTAGAGCAATCTATAGTTTTACATCACGGATTGATCCTAATTAGGTAACTGCTGAGAACTAGGAGGCAATGAACAGCTGTTTCGGGGTACTGTGGAACTGCTCATCAGTGCACTTTCACAACTCCACGAACAGTCAAATCCAGGAGCTTCAAAACTTGTGATGAACGCTTCAACTTTTAGTCCATTGAGTTTGCATCCTATAATCTAACATCTCTAGCCTCAGTCAATTTGTGATAGTGCGCGATCAACATCTATTGTTACTGAAGATATTCGTCGTCACCCTCCCACACAGTTGAACTCCACCATAGAACTGAAGTGTCTTGAACCGACAACGGGAACTGTTAACTTTAGTTGCAATACACTGGACATCATTATTCCCTTTCCCCCATTTCTAATCCAAAGGATACATCTTTCTGGAAAGATTTATAAGTAAAGATCAAGAGGTGATTAATTCGAACGAACACTTCTGCTATAGTAATATGTTTGCAAAGACTTTCAAAATCTGAGTGACATAGACAAGAGAGAAATAATATCTTTAGTTGTAATAAAAACAAAGTATAGCTCCAGTTGAGAGTTCCGGAGGGAGAAAGTAGGAAATCAAAATGACAGTCTTATACATTGTTCATGTTCCAAGTCATTGAAACACAATTATAATTTAAGTAGAAGTCACACACTTTCATTCTAATACAGTTGAATTGCTTAACATTACGTAATTTAATCTGTTATGAAAACGACAAGTAAGTAAGCCATTTTCTTAGGACTTGATATCTCTAACAGTAACTGTATAATTCGTCCAAAGAATACTTCCTGATAGAATTATATCAATTCGATAGTGGATTATTCATTTTTCACTGACAATAGACACTTTATTCCAAAAAAAGTATTGCACAGTAACACTTCAATTAAGCTATTCATTTCGGCTAATAAACACTAATCCGTCTAGTATTCATCAGTGAAGGAAGAAACAAGCCGAAAGGATCTAATTACATCTCAAAGTTATGGATTGACAGATTAATGATGATAGGAATGATATGACTGTTGACCTTGGTTAGATGAATAATCTGATTACTCACTATAATGTTTCTATCTTTGTATCCGACATACCTGTAATCTTAGGACATTACGTGATTTATTCAGTTTCCTCAATGTATATGTATATACATTTCCTTTAATTGCTAATGATTTTCATATGCATCATCGTTGACATAACTTCACTCCTATATCGCCTCTTAAATAGACCACTGATTACTAAGTCCACTAATAATGAATCAGCATTCCCTTTACCGGAACTGGCTACTAAGTTTGCTGATACCGATTGACCCACCCAAACTCTATAACCATTATCTGTCTAAACACAGTACTACGAAAACTAACTGATTTGTTTTCTCCTATTATAACGAAAAACATACTAGCATACATCAATTACAACGTCACAATGATGCTATAAATAAGGTCATAGTCTGTACATAACAATGTTATTTGTGGAATAAAATTAATTGACTTTAATTTACAAAAGTTAAGAGATATATCAGCAGTTAGTGGACTTGAAATGAAACCTTTTAATCAGAAGGGGTTTTGTAGAGATTTCAGTATTTTCATAATTGAAATCATTAGTCAATTGAAGCTAGACCACCAGGGAAAACCTGGAAGCACTGGACGGTCGTTTCGTCCTATTATGGGATTCCTCAGCAGTGCGCATCCACGATCCCGCACTCGCGAGATTCGAACCCAGGATCTATCAGTCTCGCGCCAGAGCACTTAACCGATAGACCACTGATCCGGCATCCAACGGTTTCAATGTCTAACTTCAACCAATCCACGAAGTTTGAGCAATCGTTCATAAATTGTCTTCAGTGAGTTGCTATCTCACAACAGACGTGGTTGAACTCTACTGGTCACTGCTTCTTACTAGAACTTCAGGACATGTATCTTGAAGTCAGTCACTAGTGAGCATATTATTATAATTAGAAGGTGTTTTGTAGAGATTTCAGGTTTTCCATGGTGGTCTAGGTTCAATCGACTCATGACTTCAACTATAAACTTTTTAATTAGGGAAATCTAAAAATAAACAATAAAAAATATCGATTTGTCGATCTACAAATTCCACATTTTCTATTTATTCGCTCATAATAACTAACATTTATATTAAATACAGTGCTTTGTTTTTGTTATACTTAGGAATAATAATATTTCTTTATTATGCGGTGAATCGTTCTCCATTTCAACTTTCTTGAACAATTTCGATAATGCAATGAGAAGACGAAGTTTATCAGAATTATGTGATATATTAGCGCAATACATTTCGAACAATCTGATCACACACATACTTGTTAAGACATTTTTATATGAAAATTAAAAGGTCAACTAGACAGGTTAAGGTAAGAAAATAAATAAAGTACACAAAAACAATGTGATGACTACTCTGGATAATAAATAAGCATTACCAGGGTAGGTTAAGGGTAAGAACAAATTGTTTTTGAACACATAAAGGGGTTTCAATTTCCGTATAGCCAAGGCTTCAATAAACCTTAGTATACGTCCTTGAAGGCTTTTGTACAATAATACAAACGCTGACTTGATGTCAACTTTATGACTAGTTTCAACTAAATGTTTCGCAATAGAGGAAGATGTTCGTCTATCCTGTGATCTTATTTGACCATTCGAATTCATTTGATTCTGTAGCCATTTAGGTATGTGTTCCGCCACCCTTATTTGCAAATCACGATTGCTCCTCTCTATGTACGTGTTACCGCACATACATGTAAATGGTATACACAATGGGATGTGACACAATCCCTTATGTGCTGTCTAGGTTTTTGGTGAAACATCGACCTTGTCTTTTCAATGATGACAAGTTGAGCTGCATATAATGTTCTGTTTATGGCTAATTTTAGTCTCCGTCTCAACATGAGACTATTAGAGTCACTCCTAAATGGTAATGTAATATAAACTCGCTTTTTAGGTGCCAGAAGCGTCATAGGTCTAATCGTATTGCAACCCTTCCAGCGGTTTATGAACTTCAATGAATAACCATTATTCATTAACGTATTAGTTAAAAGCCTCGTTTCTACTTCACTAGTACAAATACGATTGGTTCTATTGAATAAGCCCTTAATTAAGCCACGTTTGTAATGAATTGGGCAGTGACTATGGAAATTAAGGTATTGCCCCGTCCATGTCGGCTTTCTATATCTAGAACGTTGGATGGAACCATCTTCTCTTCTACTGATCAGTATATCTAGAAAAGGAAGTTGGTTGTTCTTCTCTTCTTCGCACGTAAGAGAAATATGCTTCTGACTTGTATTGAGTTCTTTTAACCGCTTGTTGGTGAATAATGGTTATTCATTGAAGTTCATAAACCGCTGGAAGGGTTGCAATACGATTAGACCTATGACGCTTCTGGCACCTAAAAAGCGAGTTTATATTACATTACCATTTAGGAGTGACTCTAATAGTCTCATGTTGAGACGGAGACTAAAATTAGCCATAAACAGAACATTATATGCAGCTCAACTTGTCATCATTGAAAAGACAAGGTCGATGTTTCACCAAAAACCTAGACAGCACATAAGGGATTGTGTCACATCCCATTGTGTATACCATTTACATGTATGTGCGGTAACACGTACATAGAGAGGAGCAATCGTGATTTGCAAATAAGGGTGGCGGAACACATACCTAAATGGCTACAGAATCAAATGAATTCGAATGGTCAAATAAGATCACAGGATAGACGAACATCTTCCTCTATTGCGAAACATTTAGTTGAAACTAGTCATAAAGTTGACATCAAGTCAGCGTTTGTATTATTGTACAAAAGCCTTCAAGGACGTATACTAAGGTTTATTGAAGCCTTGGCTATACGGAAATTGAAACCCCTTTATGTGTTCAAAAACAATTTGTTCTTACCCTTAACCTACCCTGGTAATGCTTATTTATTATCCAGAGTAGTCATCACATTGTTTTTGTGTACTTTATTTATTTTCTTACCTTAACCTGTCTAGTTGACCTTTTAATTTTCATATAAAAATGTCTTAACAAGTATGTGTGTGATCAGATTGTTCGAAATGTATTGCGCTAATATATCACATAATTCTGATAAACTTCGTCTTCTCATTGCATTATCGAAATTTATCAAAGTGACTAATTGTTTTAAATTTCTTGAACAACAAAAGTAAAATATAAGACCATTGATCAGTTCTGTCGATTAATTCTACCCTCCTTTCCCAAAATATTTAATTTCCTAGTAAATAACCTGTCTTCTTAAGCATGTCTCAAATTCGATAATTTGTATAAAGTCGGTTTTTCCTAGACCTTTTTTTTAAAATTTTATTTCTGTTTTTTTTTGTTTTTTTTTGTTTGTTTGTTTTTTCGGGTTTCCTTTTTTGGTAAAAAACTTGTTGAAATAACTCGTGCTGAGAATTCTATATTGTACCAGATTATAATATTGAATAAAGCCATTAATAATAATAATAATAATAATAATAATAATAATAATAATATGTAATTCAAAAATAGCGTATACTTTAATAGTTGGATTTATGAGTCGATTTAAGCTAAACTCTTATTGGAAATCTGGAAGCACTGGACGTCCGTTTTATCCTAGTATAAGGCTCAGAAAAAATCATTCAAACCATTCAAACTCTGCCCTGGGAGTAGAAGGAATAATTATGACGTCTCATGATGAAAGCCGAGTTCCTTCGGAAGTCATGAGGCCGATGCACCTTCTTACAACCAGAGCGACAATTTTTATAGGTACATGGAATGTCCGGACAATGTGGGAGACCGGAAGAGTCTTCCAAATTGCTGCAGAAATGAGAAAATACAACCTGGAGGTTCTTGGAATCAGCGAAACACATTGGACGCATGTTGGACAACAACGACTGTCTTCAGGAGAACTTCTGTTATACTCTGGTCATGAAGAAG